GTTTAGCCAGGGTTGCGGGGCAAGGGCAGGAAAAGGAACGGGGGGTTTTTAGTCAGTAAGAGTCTGACACTCCCTCTCGTCTCAGCCTGGGCGGGAGAAGTCATTTGATGATTTTCCCCTGACAAAAAAAACATATTATAAGATATGACTGATCAAGTTTTCGGATAAGCAAAAGCCTGATCGCGTGTAATGGACCGAAGTGAATGCGCCGCGGTAACTACTGTCAGTCATGCTTTCCCCTCTCCGTGACCATTTCCACTTATAAATATTATATCAGTTCTGTTGTTCAGTAAAATAAAAAAAATACAGAAAAAAAAACGCTAAATGGAATTTCCTTAGTGTTCGACGTTTGTGTTTTATTTACAATAATTATTATAAGTATACGAATAAGAAGTTACAATATGGAGGTTACAATAAATTATCTAAGGTGTGCCAATATCAATAATTTATTTGAGGTTTCTTGAGTCGGACTTGTACTGTAGAAGGTACTTAGCTATTTTATTGGCTAATTGCTGAAGTTTTGTAAGCTGTAGTAATGAATTAAAGACTACGTGAAAAGACATCTTAAACAAAAACTCTAAAATAAAAATACTATTTACTTGAGTTTCTATGTAAAATCGTAGCTTATGTATCTACCAATTCTCAGCCTAATTACCGACCTGGAGCAGGAGAAAGAATGAGATGGTTTTTAGCCAGTAAGAATCTGACAATCCCTCACGCAGGGCGGGAAAAGACATACAATGATTTTCCCTTGCAAAAAATGCACTAATTCTACTGCGTTTCGGTTTAATAGAAAGTCAGTAGAATAGAATATGCAATTGTTATTTATTTTTAAACAAAGCTATATATTGGTTGCGGTTACAATGATAAACTGCTGCAGATATTAATGGCCAGATCAAATTCAAATGCTAGAAAGTTTTGTCCCCGATTTTTTGAAAGACATTCAATTTTTTTTTTAACTTTATGCACATTGTGTACAAAGGTGGATTTAATATGCCTTAGGCAGTTTCTACCTACATTCTAATAAATTTTGTGACTTTAATGTAACTTTTAAGTAAGTAGATTGCTAATCACCAAAAAAAGTCAATGAGATTATTTTATTTGATTGAATGAGGTAACCTATGGATTTATTTGTTAGTTATCAGTATCACTAAATAGTATTAAAAAGTATATAGCTATATGTGCTTAAATATTTAAAATTACGCAACTGATTTTGATGCGGTTTTTTTTTAAAAACCATAATGAACCAAAATTAAACATAGAGTGATTGGTGAGGCAGGTTTATATTTTAAAAAACATCCATTAAATAGTTGAGGAATTTTGTATCCTCATTGCATCCGTGCGAAGCAGGGGTAGGTCTCGATATAACACGACCTTACGAATAAATACTAAGAGTATTTACAAAAAAATATTCGCCACTCAAATTTTTTGACACGAAATAAAAATATCTAGTCAACCGGTACCTAGTATGTATGCTGATTGTACCAATGTAAAAGAAGAGTGTATGCATAACCAAATCGTAGTTTCCTCTCAAAATCCTTTCACACCTGATTAATTTATTCAAAGTCAGTTATCTATTGTAGGATCCGTAGTTGGCATTGAAGCGTGTCGATAGAAATGGAGGAAGCTGGCAGGTATCGTCGTGAAGGTTCATTGATAACTCCAAGGTTCCTAAAATGGCGGCATTTAGGTCGTCAGATAAAACTCAGTGACAGTAATTTAATTTCGTCGATTGTAAGTAACTTTTTGTTATATTTACCAGTCTGTTATTTGGTAATTTCTTATTTTTTACATTACATGACATTATCAGTCTATAAGCGCCCACTGCTAAGCAAAGGCCTCTTCTCACACGGTGAAAGTTTGGGCATTAATCACCACGCTTGCTCAAGGCGGATTGGCGATTTTAAACTTAAAATTAGAAATTTAGAAGTCAAGACTTCCTCACGATGTTTTCCTTCACCGTATGTCAATGGTCTCTAAATAATCATAGAAAGTAGGTACATAACTCGAAAGAAGTCACAATAGTACCTACTTGACAGTTTCGAAACCACACATTTTTTTAATAGTCAATTGATTTTAAATATGTTTTTTCTAAATAAAAAAAATTCTGGAAAATAAAGCCATCAAACCTGTTCAGAGATTGTAATAATACTTACTTACATTAAATATTAAATAAAATTAAAACTGCCTAAACTAAAACCACAACAAAAACATTAAGTTTAAAAAATGCGGGGCGTACGTCCGTTGTGAGACGTTATCCCGCATTCCAAGGAAAGCAAACCTATAGAATTTTAATTTATTTTAACATATAATGTTATTTATTTTATATGACTCTTTGACACCTGATTAAAACTTTAATAACTTTACTTGAAATATTAAATATATAATAAGGGACGAAGACTTCACAGTACGATTACCTAGTAGTGGAAGAAAAAGCGCGGCAACGTCCTAGTGGTCTCTCGCAAACTTAATTGATGGATCTTATAAAATCAGCGGCATTCAGCTCAATAGCAAAGTTTGCATGTAGACAACTAACAGAAAAATATGTAAAGAAATCACAAGGGCAACCTTCAAGGATATTCTATAAACACGTACACGGGATTTAGCCAGGGTTGCGGGTAAAGCCGCAAAAATATAACGCGAACCCGGCCTGGTCCTGGAGCAGGAGAATCAATGGTGTGTTTTTAGTCAGTATGAGCAGGACACTCTCTCTCGCCCCACTCTTCTCCCGGAAAATTGGGCGGGTAAAAGAAGAATGGACTTCAAACAATTAAGTACTCCACTGGGCAAAGATATAAAAGTATCATAGATCGAGTGTCGTGTAGTTACCTAATAACTAATGTTATGACTGGAATACATGGATCAGATTCGAAATTATCAGTAAAAGAATGGAGTCCAGAATTTTACCCAGGTTTACCGAAGAATAGCCTTGTTATGTTTTTGAATTAAACATATAAGTAGTTGCTTCCTATTTTACGCTAATCGTATGCTACATTCCTTGTTAGAGTAAATACTCCTTCAAGAAAACATTGAACCTTGTTTTCTTAACAACTTTACAAAGCCAACAAACTAATTTCTTTTCCTTTATTGTATTTATAAATAATAGTTCTGCAGACGTGTTTTGACGTGATAAATTCCTATTGCGCACTTTCAATCTACATCCATTACTTTAGTTAGAACTGATGGTTATTAACAACGCTATTTTAATTATTATTTGCGTCCAATTAGCATCAGAATGTGACTGTTTCGTCATAGAATTTTGCAATAAGAACAGTATTAGATCCTGTATGCTAATCTCTTAAAAAGTATTGCCATTTAAATTTTAAATTCACCACCTTACTTAATAACAAGGGATGAGAAATGAGAACCAAGGGCAAGACTAAAGAAAACGTGGTGGATTGTATTGTATCTGATATTTGGGGAAATTGCAGAAGAAAACAATAAAGATAATTTATGCAACCTTAAGTAAGTTAGGATACTTACTTGGTCAAAAAGAAGAAAAAATTACAAATCAAAATAAAACCTAGGTCACTAGAACAGGAGTTTTCCAGCATTTAATTTAATTTTGTGAATTTAAATGATGAAAAGATAAGCACATAACTTTATTTAGTTCGAAACTAGCTCGAAATTTGAATTCAAATCCATATGCGCCTTCTTTGAATGATGTACCATAATGAACACGCAATGAGTCAATACACTATCATGTCATGAGGAAAATAACTTGTGTTATTTTATTCTAATAACCTTAGCTTATGTAGCTGGGTTTTATTCCTGAGGCGAATAAAATAATATTACTCTACGTCATTATTTTGAATATTAATTTTCGTAATAATACCTCAAATGTCTTGACCAACTAGATAGATCGCTAGTAGGTACATATTAAAAACATATAATTTTGATTTTCGAAGCCATCGTACCAACGTCATTCATTATTAAGAAAGACAGAAACTCTAGCAATCGATAAACCAAGTTATTTATCGATTAGTAAACAAGAATTATCGACTAAACTGACTAACAGTGGAGTTTATTTAGTTATTGTGTGTATAATGTTACAGTAGAGCAATGAATCATGTAGTTTGTTGAGTCAAGCAACCGCAAGCTGTGGCATACTTTACCTAAGCGAGAAGAACTAGGCTCTGACTTGAGGTTTGACCTGCATCGAAGTGTTAATTGAAACTATTTTGCTATGAATTAAAAGCTAAACTACAGTATGATAAGCGTAGAACAAAAAAATTAACCTGTATGCCAATTTCAAACTTATTGTTTTACAGATAAAGCAAGTGATTTGAAGGTCGTTAATAACATACATACCTATATCTAAACCAATTGCGAGTATGATTCCGAATATTAAACGCTGTGTATTTCCTATTATTTTTCACGCAATGAGTAAACTCGTATTTTGTCTACCTATATTTAAATGAAAGAACAACAATGCTTGAGTTTGTCAACCTAAAAAGTAATTTACAATTAAAGATGTAGATGAATTCTCAGACTCATCGGACCGTATAAAATCTTAAGCCGATCCAACGCGAATTCCAATAGAGCCATTATTTGTCGTACGGTTAACTGAAGGGGAGAAATCACAGTCGCGATGTGTGAACGCCCTTGCATTTCGTGCACAATGGCCTCTGCAACGGTTTTTAACATCTGCCGACCGGCCCTGGCGGATACTTTCGTGATATGCCATTACTATTATTATTTCAAAAGCACATCATACCTTGGTATATGTACTTCAACATTTTTTTCTTACAACTATTGTAAGCAATCAACACAATAGCTTTACCATATTCCCATGACAATCAAACAAAAACAAAACAAACTTTACATACGAGATAATTTGACCTCGAAGGCAACGTCACGCGTCGCGAGCACGCACCTCCGATCCTCGTAATGGACCAGCCCATTACGTCACTGACACCGATCATTAAACCCACCACCTTAGACACAATGTTCCCACGAATCGTTCACCTTGTTCATATTCTTTTTTTTTTCTCTTTCAGGATGTCCAATTTTCAACGAACACGCAGTAAAGTTTGGTGGGGTGATTCACCGCCAAACATTGGAAGTCCGGTGGCGCAGCCCGAGTGGAACCGAAACAATCGCGCTCGAGACGATCCTGATTGGGAGCCCCAACTACCTCACTGGATAGCGAATCAGCCTGACGAACCACAAAACAATAGTGCCGATGACATCGCGCAACCCATTCAGATGAACCAATGGCCTCTGCGTCACGGCAGTCCCGGCAGCCACAAGAGCCAGGATTCCGGATTTTCTGACTCCGACAGCTCTCCACCACCATCACAGTATTACCAGGCGCCTGAAACTACGGATAATAATAAATCTTCAAGTAGTAGCGATTCTAACAACAACCAAGATGTTACTGTGAAACAGGCCCCTGGTTATCAAAAAACATCACCGAGCCGTGATGCTAATAATGTGATGCTGCCTGATAATGTCAGTTGCGGGATGCCGACACCCAAACCTCGTCTTCGAAGCAGTAGTGTCATACAGACACCATACGACTTGCAGAAGTATTGTGAAATACATCAAGACGAGGAACATATGGAACTGTTAAAGGATAAGGACACAGAAAACGTGGGCAGAATTGAAAAGAAGAGTCCATCACCTAAGAATATTAATAAAGATAAAGTAAATAAAGAAAACTCGCTAAATATTTTAAACAATAATTTAAACAGTAAACCTAAGGTAAAAGTCGAAAACAAAATAGACATAAAAGTTACACCTCCGAGTAACGTAAGTAACAAAGAAAATAACATAACAACCAAAAGTGCAATACAGAAAGATACCAAAGAAGTACCAGCTAAAAACATTAATGTAATAAGTCCCTCGAAAAAGTATCCGGCGAAGAAGTCATTCATATCTAGTACAGATAGCGACAGCACCAAAGTTATTAAAGTAGCTAAAGTAAAGGATTTAGAGACAAGCAAAAACAAATCAGATGACAGTTTAGAATATTTGAAACTAGAAGATGACAATGAAATAGCAGTAAACAACCAGCCGCGGGTACGTACACCGATATCTAACGTGTCTTATGTACCTACTGAGAGGACATCTACGTCCAGAGCAGAGTACACACGTAGCTTGTCAAACGAGGATGCTACACCTATTACCACAACTCCAAAGTTCCAAAGAAATAGACTAAACAAATCACTTAACTTCGAAGCTCAGAGGTTAGACCAACAAATCCTGGACATACAAGAAGGGTATCACTCGTTAGGTTACATAGATGAAGAACCTAACAATGACATGATGTATGAAAACGAACAAATACATAAACCAACTAAAGCTATCCTTGGTAAGAATATCATGGACAGTTTACATTTAAAACCGACTAAGAAGCCAGGGCCTAAGGCTAAGCAACGGATGGCCACAAAGTCAGACAAAACGAAGGACCTATTCAGGATATTTCCTAAAAAGGAAAAGCCTGGAGTAGTAGAAGACTATGCTGGTGGTTATTTGAAAGGTAGTAGGGTTCCTGTGCTAGGTTTACCGAGGGTCAAAGAGCAAGACTCATGGGTAATAGTCGGCCATCCCGAAGAAATGCTAATACCTCATTACAACGAAAGATTAGTGGGTGAACAGAGCGATGTGACTGTAAAAGCTGCAGAGAAAAAAGAAAATGTAGAGGACTTTCTCAAAAATGGCCGAGTTACACCTCCACCTCAGTTTCAAGATAAACAGAAAGCTCCTTACGAGACAGAACCTAAGACGAATAAGAATCTTACACACGACTCCAAAAGGGAGAAATTAAAAGGAGAATTAGATTTTGTGGATGTCCAGCTGAACTTGGCATGTACTTCCACGCCAAAGATGTTAGCTCCACATGAGTTTATGGATGTTCCTAAGAGCGATAAGAAAAGTGCCCGTAAACTCAATATACAGGACGAGTTTAATAGCGAGTAAGTATTTTATTGAATATAATTACCATTATTCCATCGTACATATGAGAATGGTATGATATACCTAGGTATTATCATTTAAAGTCGAATCACAAATTCGAAAATTAAGAAAACCGAAATCCATTAGTGCTATATACAATATCTGAATATTTACATTTCCCAACCTTGATTTTAGTGATCTCACTTTTGTAGGTACTTAGCCTTTGACGACAATCGTAACAATTAACCTTTTATTAAATTGAATTAAAAACATTACCTATATGTAGTTAAGATGTTAAAACCAAGTGTTTCCTGACCTGACTTACAAAATAAAATTGTAACATTCTCGTCCTTAATTCGGCTTTAATGAGATTACCATGTAGTTCAACGGGTCATTAAGCTATGTTGCTTATTGTATGTCCTCGCCTCGAATATTAACAATATTCTTTCACTACGTAATAAGTTTAAAACATAGAAAAATCATATTTAAAAGATACTTCCTTTGTATAAAGTCCAACCTGATAATAATATCACAATGAAATATAATCTTTAGCACGTTGTAATAAAACTACATTTTTACAGGAACTACCCCTCTAGGTTGGTTTTAAACAACCAAAATGAGATCCTTTATCGAGAGAGATCTATAGACCAGACATGCTTAGAGCGACTATGTGATAGAAAACCAGAGCCTGTCCAGTATTGGTTATGTGACTTGATCGGGTCTTGTGAGAACGAGTGTATGACTACGCTGCAAAGCAAGCCACTCGGAGCCGAGATGAAGGCGATGGTATCAGCCAGCTCCGCTACCATAACAGGGAACATAAAGAAAGTTCAGACACATGGACAGATTATTGTTTACCAATACAGCGATGTTTTAAGGTAAGACATTTACGTTGTCAAAAGATTTTTTTAAGCGATAGGTCGGCATACGAGAAGACGGATTACATGATGGTAAGCAAGCGCCCGTTGACACATGCAACAACAGAAGAGTTACGAGTGCGTTGCCGACCTTTTGGGGATTAGGGCTTTGGAGATTAAGGGATTGGTGGAGTCACATCATATCAGCCACAGGACGTCCACTGCTGAACATAGGCCTCCCCCATTGACTTCCAGATAGGCCGGTTGGAAGCGACCTGCATCCAGCGGCTTCCTGCGACCTTAATCAGGTCGTCTGTCCACCTTGCGGGTGGACGTCCCACGCTGCGCTTGCCGGTACGTGGCCTCCACTCGAGAACCTTTCTGCCCCAGCGGCCGTCGGTTCTACGCGCTATGTGCCCTGCCCATTGCCACTTCAACTTACTAATCCGCTGGGCTATGTCGGAAACTTTTGTTCGTTTGCGGACATCCTCGTTTTTTATACGGTCTCGCAAAGAAACTCCGAGCATAGCCCTCTCCATAGCGCGCTGAGCGACCTTGAGCTTCTTTATAAGGCCCACAGTAAGAGACCACGTTTCAGTTCCATAGGTCATCGCTGGTAACACACATTGATTATAGACTTTCGTCTTAAGGCACTGAGGTAAGTTGGACGAGAAGATGTTGCGTAGTTTCCCGAACGCTGCCCATCCAAGTTGGATTCGACGATTGACCTCCTTCTCGAAATTGGACCTACCTAGCTGGATCACTTGTCCCAGGTATACATATTCGTCAACAATTTCGAGGTTAGAACTCCCAACTGATATCGGATAGGGCGTGACATGGGCGTTTGCCATGACTTTCGTCTTGTCCATGTTCATTCGGAGCCCTACCTGTTGAGAAACTCTACAGAGGTCATCGAGCATTGTGCTCAGATCCTCCAGCGATTCTGCCATGACTACAATGTCGTCGGCAAACCGGAGGTGAGTGATGTACTCGCCGTTGATGTTGATGCCAGATCCTTTCCATTCCAAGAGCTTGAAAGCGTCTTCCAATGCAGCGGTAAACAGTTTCGGAGATATGACGTCTCCTTGCCTTACACCTCGCTGCAGAGGAATATTCTTAGTGCTCTGGTTTTGTACTTGGACCGACATAGTGGCGTTTGTGTATAAGCACTTCAAAACCTCGATGTACCGAAAGTCAATATGGCACCGCTGGAGAGATCTTAACACAGCCCAAGTCTCGATCGAATCAAAAGCCTTCTCACAGTCCACAAACGCCAAGCATAGTGGCAAGTTATACTCCTCGGTCTTCTGTATAACTTGCCGCAGCGTATGGATGTGGTCTATGGTACTATAGCCTTTCCGGAAACCGGCTTGTTCGGGAGGCTGGAAGTCATCGAACCTACGTGTGAGACGATTTGTGATGACCCTCGAGAATAACTTGTAGACATGGCTCAGAAGTGAGATGGGTCTATAATTTTTCAGTAGAGTGTTATCTCCCTTCTTGAAGAATAGTACCACCACACTTCTGCTCCATGCCGCCGGCGTTGCTCCTTCGAATATGACGGAGTTGAAGAGCTTCTGAAGGACTCTCAGTACCGGCGTTCCGCCCGCTTTCAGAAGCTCTGATGTGATTCCGTCCTCGCCCGGCGCCTTGTTGTTCTTGAGCTGCTTGAGGGCCATCCTAATCTCGTATAGGCTGATGTCCGGGATATCCTCGGTATAGTGTCGGGTGAGTTTAGCTCTTGGATCGGCGACTGAGCTAACAGGTCTAGTGACCGATGTGTATAGCTGTCCATAAAACCTCTCGATCTCACCCAAAACTTCGGCCTTCGTCGACGCTACACTGCCATCCTCCGCCTTCAGCTTCGTCAGCTGTGTTTGCCCAATAGACATGTCCCTAGCGAACACTTTGGAGCCTTGGTTCCGCTCTATCGCTTCTTTAACCCTATTGGCGTTAAAGTTGCGGATATCGTGTCGCATGGACTTCCATATTTGTCTATTGAGCTGCCGATGTGCTTTAGCATCGGCAGAGGTCTGGAGTACCATAGCACGTCGTTCTGCCATGAGTTTGAGGGTGCGATCGGTAAGCTTCTGCGGTCTGTCTTTTCGGCGGGGTCTAAAAAACTTCGACCCGACCGCATGGACAGTTTCTACAAACCTGTTGCTAATCTCGTCCACTGACTCGCAATTCTCCAGGGACTCAAAACGATTCGATAGCTCGATCTGAAAGCTCTCGGGACAACCGATATGTGCATTTGAAGGTCGGAGCGTAGACTTCATCAGACGTGATCTTTCCAGCTTTATATTGATATTCAATGTGCCTCTGACCAGTCGGTGATCGCTGCCGGTTTTTACTTTATGGATCACAGAGACATCATTGAACATCTGTCGCTTTGTTGTCATGATGAAGTCGATCTCATTTTTTGTGGAACCGTCCGGGCTCATCCAGGTCCATTTCCTGTGAGACGGCTTCTGGAAAAAGGAGTTCATCGCAAAGAGGTCCTCCTTCTCCAGGAACTCAGCCAGTCTCTGTCCCCTGTGGTTCCGTTGCCCATACCCGAATTGCCCCACTCTCAGCTCGTTATCGCCTCGAGTTCCCAGTTTCGCGTTGAAGTCCCCCATAACAACATTGAAGTAGGTTTTATTAGTATGTATGGCCCTACTTATGTCCTCATACATAACCTCTACTTCCTCGTCTGGGTGTGTCGAGGTCGGTGCATAAACCTGGATAACCTTCAACGAGTATCTATTGGATACCCTGAGTATCAGGTACGCCACCCTGCTCGACACACTTTCGACGGTAAGAATGTTGTTGACGAGGGACCTGTGGACGAGGAACCCGACACCACCTTGGGACAGTTGTTCGCCCTCCCGGTAGTAGAATAGGTTGCCGGATCTTAGGGTTATCGTGTCCTCGCCCTCTCGTCGGACTTCTGACAACCCCACAATACTCCAGCGCAACCTACCCAATGCCTCTTCCAGCTCAATAATCTTCTCGTCTGTCCTCAAAGTGCGAACATTGTGTGTTACCAGGGCCAGTCGTCGTCGGGGGTGGTAGCCTTTTCTCCACCTCCGGGGATTCTTAGCACCCCGTGTCCCGCCGTTACCCTGACCGCTACCACGGTAGCCAGGAACGGCGGGACTGCCGGAGACTGGGGGCCTGGTTTTATCTGAGCAGTTCATATGGGGGGATTTGCCAATACTCACCACGCTTGGCAGGCGGGTTGGCGAGCGCAGTTAGGTCACCGATAATTTTTAAAGAATGCTGCTCCCCATTCCTCGGTGTCTGGTCGCAGTTTTAGGACGTACCCGGGTCCGGTGGAGTCACATGGCGAAACACAACACTGATTGTTTCACGCCGATTTTCTGTGATACCTTTGTATCACTCCGGTCGAACCAACCCATTCGTACCGAAGCATGGCTCTTCCACACTTAAAGATACTCATTTTATTACAAAACAAGATTTATGTATAACCTAGGTTTTTTAATTTGAAATACAAAAACTAGCTCAGTCGTTTAGACCTCGACTAAAAAAAAACATTGTTTTGTAATAAGGCGGTATAAGTTTAAATAGAACTCCGTTTTTGAATTTTCTTAAAAAACAAATGCTATCGTAATTTTATTGTCGTTTATTATTTGTTATAAAGCACAACAATAAAGAATAACAATGTTATGGACTCGAAACACTTTTATTTTCCAACACTATCGTTATAAACATCTAATCAATATATCCTCAATCAATGCGTATAATAATCGATAATATGTAATTTCCTATAAATACAATATTCTGAGGAAAAAAGTGCAATAATCATATGCAAAATACAGCTCTTCTGAATGAGGAAACACGCACTGTTTGCAATAAGCATTATAATGATATGCATTCGTTTGCACTTTCGTGTTACAGACAAATTGAATCCGGAAAATCGAGTGAGGAACAAATCTGTTTATTGATAGCAAATATCAATGAGTTCGTCTTAGCTCACAGCATCACCCTAAACACAAAGCCACCAGGAGAGACTCCAGAAAGGTGGGACAAGATCAAGAAGTCCTTACAACTGTATTTACAAAAGTTAATCGATGTCGGAGAGGATGTCAAAGTGGAATTGAATGAAAGTGTCCCCGAGTGGACCTTAGTATGTAAACATTTGGACACGTTGATAGAAATCTTCTTGGAGACCACTAAGGCTGTTTTAGTTCAACAGATGAAGGTAAGAATCTTAAAAAACAGTTACTTAGTGCCTTTATTTTTTTTTAAAGCCATTTAAAGAAAATAAACAGTAATGAAATGAATCATAGTCGGATATTTAGCTATCGGGATTTGATAAGCCATTAGCAACCACAGTAGCGAGCGATACGAAAATTTAGATTATCATTCGATTAATGAATAATTATTATTATCTATATTAATCAAATAGTTCAAGTAACACACAAATTAATTCCTGTTTCAAAAATCGATTCTCACGACACTCGAACGAGCCACGGAACTACGAAAACTGTGTAAACAATTGGATGTCTCATAAATGTGCTTGTTCCCACAGACTCTGGTTTCAATCATTGAAGAACCACCTTCGGACATGATTCTTAAGAGTACGTTGACGTCTATTGGACACTTGGCGATGCTAAGTGACACTACAGAAGGTTCCTTACATGAGAAGTGTTCTAAGATCATGAAGAATATTACTGAGTTGCCATTCGTGGACTGCGCGGTCCCTAGAGCATTGTTGACGGCGATCATTGAAAGTAACAAAAGCTCAATAAAGGCGTTGTCGTTGCGTGCGCTTGCGACCGTCTGCGTCACTGGAGATGCTGTTAAACAGTTTGAAGAGGTATGGCGATAAGATAAAATTAATTTTCTTAATATTTGTACGTTTTTACATGTTCTGCCAGATCATAACTATGTCTCTTGTAAAAATATTTCTATTGGTATCTTATCTTCGTCTGATATATATAAACAACGGCAACGTTCTAGCCTAAAAAAATCATTTGAAACTACTTCTTCTTCTTTTATTCTGTATTTGTTCATGATTTTTGTTTCCTCAGGGCGGTGGTATAGAGATTATCTCAGATATTCTCTCGGACCGCAAGAACCCCGAACCTCAGATGCGCGAAGCCATCACAGTGCTCACTCAAATCACGGCACCCTGGTTGAGAGGGCATTACGATCTCACACAGATGCACATCTACCTCAACAACATTGTCGAACACATTACCGGTAAGTTACCAATCAGGTTGCTAACGCCATCTACTGTAGAGATTAGGAACTAAATGAAATATGTTTATTGCACTACCTAGTAGATGGCGCTAATAAAACAATTTAAGATTTCGCGCCATAACATTCAAAATCACTTCTAAGACTTTTCAAAAAGGATAAAAATTAGTTCAAATAAATAATTATGCTAAATAAAAATTTACCAATAATTTTTTAGGTCAAATGAATAAATTTTACGAAATGACTTTATTGCAACTAAAATTCGCCTAAGTTATTTTCGACCAAACAAGGGTGAACCAAAATACAATACCTACAGGATCACATTTAATACTTAACAATAATAATATGTATTACAGGTATTCTGTCGCGTACCGAATGCTGTCAACTCCTTCTTCTATGCACGGCATGTCTCGTCAACTTGGTGCGAGAGCTGGAGTTGGAGAAGAAAGATGATGACGTCACGACCAAATCTGACATCGTCGAGGTGATCACCAAGCATCGGACTGTTGAGAGACTGCTAGACGCTGTGAAACGACGAGGACCTAACATCTCAGTGTTTTTGCAAGTAAGTTTCTCACTATCACACAAAAAGTAGCCATGTATTTCATATTTATATTCATATTTATTTTGCCTTGTAGAACGCAAATAAATTAATATAAAAAGTAGTTATGCATTGAATACACTACGTTATAAGTATTAGCCCGATAGCCATAAACTACCATAACAAAAACTCTTTCTCTTAAGACTCATATTATCTTCTCTCTACACCATCAGGAACAGACAGCATCGCTCCTAGCGTCTCTGTCGCGGATTCCTCGCTGCATGTTACTCCTGTCGCGCGTGACGTCAGTATGCGTGGCGCTAGTGTGCTTCGCGCGATTCTCGCCCGGCGCCTGCGCACGTACTGCCGAACTACGCGCGCAAGCCAGGCTGCATTGCCATGCCGCGGAGGCTATCTCTAGGTATGTGGAATTGAAAAGTTTTTTTATAATTCACGTAAGTAACTATGCTGTGCTTCCAAAATGCACCAATCAATAGGTACATTTGTTTTGCAATTATTTTATACTGTGTAATTGCGTTATAGGTAATTTGTTTAAAATTATGTTTTAAAACCAAACTACTTATTTGGCCACATCATTTTAACTGAACACGCTAAATGACATGATCATATTTTAAACGTTGTAACGACCTCAAAAACTTCAAAACAATGAGTTAGGTACCTACCAATAACAAATTTGAATTTGTTCACAGACTGACGGTGATGCCGGACGTCGCATACCAGATTGTGCAACTAGAGGGCGTTCCTCTCCTTACAAAGTTAGTAAGGTTGCAGCGAACGCGGCCCCCGTTGGACACCAACCCAGACCAGACCCTCATCCACTGCCTAAAGGCACTCAGGACCATATACAAACATCACCCAAACACCTTCGATGATGAACAGGATATCAATGACATGATCAGACCCCATCTGATGGAGTCACTCATGTTATTTTCGGCCAAAAAAGAAAGCTACGTCTAGTGATATTCATAGATTCCAATACTCTCGATAATTCTATCGATATTAATAAAATTCGAATAACAGCATCGATGGTTATATCGATATAAATTTTGATAATAGAATTATCGATATTGTTATCCGAATGATTGATGTACCTATAACTTTATTAGGAATTGGATGGAGATACTAAATTATTTTTTGGATTACGTGTACGTAATAAAATCAAACTCGAATATAAGTACTGGAGTAATCCTGAGACTGAATTAAGTAAATTATTTAGTTATGAACTTAGGACATTCCTATGATTACATAAATAACACAAAGAATTAACTAATCAGTAGTAATTTATAACCACAGAACTTCAAGAAACGATAATAATCGAATTTGTAATGAAATAATTAATCGATTCAAATATTTGACAAATGAATTCATCATGCCTTCCACCTAAAGAATGAAAAAGTTAGGAAAACGCATTCCTACAAACTAAATATTATTTCTTCATTATTGGAATATTTTGGTTTTTTACCAAATTAAAAGTTTCAAATCTAAAGCTTTTTAAATGTGTTTTTTTTGAATTGCACTATGGTTCTGTACAGTATTGCCATACATTCCACTAAGTATAAAAGTGTTGCTGTATATAAAATTTTAATTCTACTTTTTACAAGTTCTTTTCTTAATTGGCTTTGTAAATAGCGTACTTACAAGTAGGTACTTACGTTTACTTAATTCACTATTTATCTTTAATAGTACAGAGGCCATACTATATTGTGAAATTACTTCTACTAGTCTTTAATCAATAATATACTTATTTGTAGTTATTGTAAAGGGCAACCTTTATTTTTCTGAATCCAGTGGTACAAAACAATTTTAAACCTTGTCCTTGCTAGGGAACATTGTGGAAAAAAACAAATGAAAAAAAGCTACCTTTTTTTTCTACGGAACTTACGTCAAAAAGAATGACAGGTTATTCAAAATGGGCGCGACGCCGAGAAATTATCATCCGCTATTGGGCCCTAACGGGGACGATGTATATTTAAAAAATAAATTAACTCATTTTGTTTTGACCATTGGATTCCTTTTTGTAATTATTTTAACATCACTCAATAGTGTAAGTTTGGTACCACCTTGTAATAATGAGCTCTAGTATTGTATACATTTTACCTTCAAGTGTTTAGACTTTAGTTTGTAAAGAAATTGCGTTATGCGGCACCCGCAAATGTTATCTGTTTATAATAAAGTATATTATCTATTCTATCTGTTTTATCATTTTAATATTAAGAATGCGTTCGTTCCCCTTGCTCAAAACACATTCTCGTCATTCCATCGTGGTTGGGCAGCTAACCAGCTATTACCTACCCTTGTGTCACACTGAAAATGTCAGTAACAAAAATTTATTCTATCTAATGAAAAAAAAATCAGGAATCAGTCAAATTCAATACTTTTATCCAAACATCAAAATTGTGTATTGTATGAAACACTGAATTATGACGTCATTGCGTCAAATAGCTTACTTATAAGTACATTTATTTATTTATTTATTTAGCAATAAGTACAATTTTAGTTATAACATTTTGTTCTTATAATTAAAGATCCTCGCCAAACATAACGTTTAACGGCGAGAAGCGCTCATTTGTTTTACTTACTAGCTAATTAAGTACTTTATATAACATTAAAAAACAAAACTAAAATCAAAACAAACACAAAAAACACACATTACAAAGGATAATCATTAAAGAATGCACGTATGCTCTCTTGAGCAATTCTCCCCTTAGCTTCTTCTTCAACATAAACAAACTCACTTTATTTTCCTCTCTCAATATATCTATTTTATTGAACATATAAGTAAGGTTTACGTACTTATAAAGTAAGTAAGTGCAAATAGCTTACTTATTTTTTTAAGAATTTGCTAAAAATATCTAAAATTTTATACCTATATTGACAGATCGATGAATAAAACTTTATAGTTATTTTTCAATATTCTATTGTATTGAAACGTCGAATTAATTAATTTATTAATAAAACAAATAATTTAATTTTAATGTGTAATTCCAATGCCGTATTAGTGTGGAAACGATTTAACAGAAAATTGAAAAAAAATACACTATTAACTTTTAAAACTAAATTAAAAAGTATTATAATTTCATCCTGATGGTAAACAAATCAATCAACTATTAACGCGTGCGTTAAGAACCTTTAGATAAGGCACGTGATATTTAAATAAACATGGATTACTTACATAATTAGATTATCCTAATAAAAAAACTTTAAAGATAATGTCTAAAATCCACAGAATAGGCGAAAACAGCTTCTAAACTTTCGAAGAACTACTTAGAGAAATTATGTGAAAATACATTTCATAGATACATATAGAACCTTAGATCAGCAGTGAGCATAATGCCTCCAGACTTCATGGCGCCAGTTAGTAACCTGGCGCCCTAGGAGCTTTCCTATTTGGCCTTAAGAATAATACTTAAAGCCCTAATTACAATTCTTTCATTTTATTTATCTAATCAACAATGTTAATCCAAGCAAGAAGGTCGCGTGTTAGCTCTTCTCAATTTGTCTTCATATCTCTCTCGTTCTCCGATTGGTTTTACGTTCCACATTTTATACGACTGCGGCGTTCGAATTACATTTACTAGGAAAAGAATGAATAGCACAAATAACAGGAGAAGTGGTGCCTAAAAGAAAAATGAGAATCAGGAATATTTTGTCGAAGCTATATCGCACCTTTCAAAGTAAGGAGGTGAATAACGTAAATCTTAGGGCTGGACTAGATGACAAAATTTGCGGCTCTTGTTTTTAATTTCTTCCATGAAAGTAACCCTGAAGCCCAAGTAGGCACTTAAAGGCCTTAAGTGCCTACTTGAAATTATGCGCAATCTACCTTTAATTTTTTGCAAATATAAATAAAACCAAGGAATAAAATATGTAGTATTGATGACATTAATTAAGTGCAATTTATTAAATAGTTTTACTGTAATTTTTTGAGTGAGGAAAAATCATTTAAGTAATGACTTTTTTACCCGGTGCCCTATCCACAGAGGAAGTGTCAGAGAAGCGACCCTGGCAGTCGCACTACCTTTGATGATTTTGATGCTTATCTAAATATTTTCTTTAATATACATAGGTATAGATTAGCCTTAGTAGTTTTTTCTTCCAATTGCTAATTAGGTATGTATGACATTTAGGCATCGTTTCTTTATAAGTATCTAAAGGTAACTTCAGGAACCAATCATAACTTACCTCTTTAACAAGGAGAGATCGTAGAAAATAAACTATAGTAAATGTGAACGCCAATATTAAACACAGCAGAACTTTGTTCATATTGAAGAACAGGTATTTGTTGTACGACACGAACTTCTTTGCCATTGCAGAGAGAATATCCATTTCAAATTCTTAGTTTTTAATCTCAGAATGCTGGAGAAAATTGGTTGAATGTGTAATATCTATGTGTTGTATCTAAGAATCGTTGAAAAGTTAATTACCGTTCGTAATCTTAGAGCAAATGTCACTTCCATATTATTATGATTATCACAGATTAGGTCTTTCTGTGAAGGTGTAACTAAAGAGTATACATATACTAGTCATTATAATTTATGGACCAGGCGGCAAAAAAAAATATAAACACTTATTTTATATATACTTACGTTTTTTGTATGATAAAGTTTGAAAATCATTAGGTACAATGAGTAGGTAAATCAAAACTGATATGTAATCAATGCTGGGAGTTCCAGCCGAGGTAGGAACTCGAAGACCCTCGAAATTCTATTTTATTGCAACATTATTAGGTACATACTGTTTAATTTGCTGCATCAGTGATTTGTGATCTATTAATAGTGTTGTTAAGTATTATTACTAGATGACTCATTTCATATAAGTAAGTACGTGTATCTATGACGTTTGCGATAAGCCTGTCCTGAGTGGAACACAGAATAAACCTCTTCCCAGAAGTGAATTAATCGTTTCTTAGTATCAACTTTCATAGGCAAGCTCATAAAGGAGCAGGCCCTGCCGCGCCCCTCCGCTCCTTGCCTAGCTTGCGTCAGGTAGGTACGGCTTAGCAGCCGGCTCATATAGCTCAATAAGATTTTCTCATGTGTCGTGAGAACATTTACAAATATACAATTTCACACACACATCATACCCAGACCCGGAACAACAATTTGTGGATCACACACAGAGTTGTTCCGTGCAGGAATCGAACCCGCGGCACGTTGAGCGGCAGCCAGTTGCCCAGCCACCGCGCCAATCTTACAGTTAGGTATCTTACTTAATAATAACAATATGTGTTCGATACATTATCCACGATCGAACACGTTTTGCTGATCTAGCAATCCAACCACGACATGCCAAGTGCAGCGCGGCCTCAGTACATATTCGAACAGCAAACTGGGTGCGTTCGTACTCATTAGCTTATATCATTTAGTGTAACTTTACCGTTTTTAGCAATAAATCCTTTAAGATATATGTACATGTATGATCTATATTTTCACCTGTGACCTCCTGAGCGTGTAATTTAGAAGATTTATTTTAAGTAATGTAGGAATATGTTTAAAACAAACGCCAGTAATGCAAGGAAATGGTTGCATATTTGATATACATTCAGTCAACAAAGTATCGGGAATGAATGTTTTTTTTATGGTTCCAAATTCGAATTTTAATTTTTTTTTGTTGTTAGATTGGCATAACTGTTTTTCATTTTGGCGCGGAATTTGAATTGCATCTGTTATTTATATTAAAAACAGTGCTGTTTTTAGTTTTTTAATATCTAGTGTGTGTGCGAATTTCATAATGGACAAAAACATCGAACAAAGAGTTTGTCTTAAATTTTGCATCGCCAATGAAATTTCGTGTTCGAAGGCGCTCAAAATGTAAATGCTCACGAGTCGATCCGTACCATTTAACAAATAATTTGGGTATAAATCGTGTTGCCGCTCGGCTAGTCCCAAAAGACCTGAATTTTCTTCAAAAACTAAATCGCATGAAAGTCGCTGAGGACATGCTAGAACGAGTCAATACCGACCCAACATTCATGAAACGCATTGTTACTGGTGACGAGACGTGGGTTTACGAGTTTGACATGCAAACTAGTCAACAAGCTTCGGAATGGCGCCTTCCAACTGAACCAAAACCGAAAAAAACCACGTCAAAGTCGATCAAAAGTCAAAGTCATGTTGACTGTTTTCTTTGACTATCGCGGTGTTGTGCACTCAGAATTCTTGCCCGAAGGTCAAACGGAAAATAAAGAATATTATTTGAGCGTTATGCGGCGTTTAAGAGAACAAATTCGACGAAAAAGGCCAGAAATGTGGAAAGAAAATTCTTGGATTTTGCATCACGATAATGCGCCTTCGCACAAGGCCATCATTGTAAACGATTTTTTGTCCAAACACTCAACAAACACCATCGAGCAGCCACCATATTCACCAGATATGGCTCCAGCCGACTTCTTTCTTTTTCCCACACTCAAATTACCCCTTCGTGGCACCCGTTTTCAATCGTTAGAAGACATAAAGGAGAATTCGCGACGAGCACTGAACTCAATTCCAGAAACAGCGTTTAAAAGAGGTTTCGATAATTGGATTATTCGTTGGCGTAAGTGTATCGTTTCTGAAGGAGCATACTTTGAAGGTGATAAAATAAATTTAGATGAATAACAAACATTTTGTGTATTATTGACTTTTTCCCGGTACATTCTTGACAGAGTAGTACATATTATTATGAAAGGAATCAAAGGATTTTTAAGACTGAAACTCAAATGTAAACCAATCATTGATTTAATGTCATCTGATGATAAAAAAATAGAAGTAACTAGTACATAATAATATTATTTGTATAAATAACAATCATCCATATGATTGTTTGATATTTTTTGAGTGTACAATATCTACAGTGGTCTCGTGACACATTCTAAGGTCCAAATCATAGACACCTAAACAGAACTTGTTCTCAGGTGCCTTGAAGTAGTCTAAACCTCTGCCGATCTTTATAATCCAACCGGAACTTAATCTGAAATAAGCAAAAGATGAAGATAAATAACTTGTACAATAAAATTATTTTATTTCTTAAAAATTTGCCAATAAATATTGAAAATTTTGTGGATAGACAGATCAATGAATAAAATTATTTTTTTAATTTTATAATATTTTTTTGTGTTGGAATTAATTTAGTTTTGACCTAGGATAATACCAAATTATTAGGTATATTCTATAGTTTTTTCAAAAAGGTTCAATGACTATTTTACTATTGTTGTTTACCCATATGTTCTAAGGCATTCAACTTTTTAGGGTTCATAACATAACTGAAAAAAGTGTTGTCAACCTTTGCATACTAGGGCATCATCAAAAGGTATGTAATTTTATTACATTGTAATGCAGAACTTGACTAGAAACCATTTAATAGGAATGTCCTGTACATTTTGACTCATCATACACTTCTAAGAAACACTCTACAATGTTTACCTATAAGTGCCTCTTATTACTACTCAACTACATACTATATTTAAATAAACAGTTCAAAAATGTTCTTACGTAATCTGCCGGTCATGTAAAGTTTCAGAATATTTCACAATTAACTTAATTTTGTACTTAGATAAGTCATTACTTAAATTAGTAAACCACCCTCTTTGGTCTCCTTCCGTCTTGTTGTCTCTTGATGTAATTAATTCAATTAATTGAAGATTGTTACATGATCGGACTAAGAGTTCACATAGCCTTAGAAAATTCTGGCACTGAAAAAAAGTTTGTATGAAAAATTTACATTTTAAATTTTAGTAGCTATCTCAAAACATTTTTTTCATTTGTAACTGTATTTACCTGATAAAACGTCCTAATGTAAGGGTCTTCAATGGAAACATAGTTTACATCATCATCTAAAAACCGTCCAAACAGAGTTTTGTAACTGTGGCCTGTAGAATTATTCTCTATATGCACCTGTTCGTGAAATTGTCCAGCCTCCTTTTGTTGTAAAACTAACTTTTTTATTGTCTCTGCTCTGTTCATGTATTCTTCAACTTTTTTCCTTAAATAGGCTTTGGACGAATCATCATTTTCACCTGCAAAATATAGTTTAAAGAATTCTGTTTATTGTTTTTTCAAACACTCATTAATAATACTTGTAAACATCTAAATTGTTTATTTTCTACTTGCCTCTCATTTTGTCTACTAATATTTGTAGACCTTCTTGATAACATACTAGCGCCTCTGTATACCGTTTCTTAGTATCTAATTCAACTCCTCGCTTAAGGATATTCACTGCAGCACTTTCTATATTCATCTTGTAAAATATAATCACTAAATAAACTACTGCACATCAACATTTACGTTTTATTTCAGTTTATTTAATGTTTCCTATTGTTAAAATGTACTCTGTGATTTAATGTCTACCAAAGAGTATGTAACCACTACGTTTAAGAGACGGGACTCCCATACAAGCCAGTGGAATCCATTTACACGGCACTCTAATACCTACATTGCAATAAATAAAAGATGTCAGCCGTCAAAATCAATAGTACCAACCTAAAAGACCAAATAGTTCTGTGGTAGCTGTATACTAGGTTTAGTATCGATATCGATAATATTTATAGGGTAGAAATCGAGGTCATATTACTTTTTTAATTTTTAGTTTCGATCTTTAAGATAAAGTTCGGATTTGAAATAAAACATTGTGTTATATTAAAAACTAAAAAATATATTTTTGTAATAATATTCAAATTCATGTTATATACGGACGGTGTGTTAAGGACCTAACTAAAATTATTTAAATTAAGTGGACTCTAATACTTAATACATATTATATTGGTTCAGTGAATTGGTTCTATGGGCACATACACTAAATCTTCTTTGCCAACAACTTTCACCCACTGCCGGCACCTGAAAAAAGGAAAAATTCAAAATGGACAGTCCCAGACATGAATAACTCTAAATTGTGTAAACAGCTGGTGTTCCTTATATAATAAATGCATAAATTTTACGAATACAGTATACATAAATTTTTATCTACGTTTAATCATTAATTTCTTAAAATCTACTGGGTTTGTCGTGTCACAACTTTGTTCAACAACATCTAATAACATCATTACTTCTTTGGTGTGGTCTGGAAAGTAAATCACGAAAGAATAAATAAATCAAGGGATCTTTGGAGTTTAGCCCACACTATCGATATCGATATCGATCTGTGACTATCGATACTTGAGGTACATCACTAGTACACAATAAGTACATGAAAATCAATTTACATGTATTTGTAGCCTTTTATACTTAGAATTAAATAAAATTATATCATTTAATGCTTACCGGTCCTCATCCAAAGGAAATTTCGCCATAAACATCCTTTTCTCGCCATTTTTACGACCGGATCGTCCTCCGCAGATTTCACAAGTTAGAAACCGTTTTTTGGTGGCATACGTACTACTTGAACACGTAACTAGTCACAGCCGTATCACTAACCACTAATTAACTAAACAAATTATACGTAAATTTATGAAATTATGAAAATAACAACATAAACTTACAAAAGCAACGACATTCAAAGTTCAAAACTTCAAACAAAATGGCCGACGGATTAGTGAAAGAAAGAGAACTGTACTGAGGGAGTGGGATGGCAATATCCGGCTACTTCCGTGTGCCATTATTTGCCGTGCCAAGCCCATACATTTTTATTTTTCTTCTAAGTTGCGCTAGGCTGATGTCTACTGTTAATTACTTGAGAACTGTCAATGACAAAAGTTTACTTTCATATACTGTTTACAAAGAATGGAACAATTTGAAAACAAACATCATAACCAGTTTTTGCAAAAACAAATTGACAAACTTATAGAAAGAAATAAACGATGTTAAAAAGTTATTATATTTCTAAGAAGGCAAGATAAAAAATTTAAAGCAAAGGATTATTAAAATAAACACACAATAGTTTTAAAATGCCGTGTTTAAAACTTTCAGTTTTTTAATGTTACGGTATCTGTAAATGAACACTGTTAAATGGACAATTATTATAGGGTTTTCATATGCCAGAATGTAATCTAATATTCTATGGTCTTAGGGTTTTCACCAACTTTCAGATACACTATAGCACAGTAACTATAGTTTCAAAATATAATAAATTATCAGACCGCCCCTGCTCCACACGGGTATCTAACTACTTTGGAGTCAGTAATTTCTTTTGCAAGTAGTAAATTACTTCTATTCCCCTTAGTTTTCTTTCAAAAAAACCTTCTTCTAACAATAACAAACATAACAAAATGGAATTCTCAAAAATGGTCCAGGTGTTATTGAATTATGCCCTTATCAACACTTCACGATTCATTTTTATATTACCTATAGAATTTAAAAAGAAAACATAGAATACAAAATTATGAAGAACTAGCCACAATATAGTTTTTATAACTGCACTTCCTATGTACAATATATTGAAGAACGGAACGTAAGTTTTGTAATATACTCTGTGGGTGGACGATGAAGTCTGTGTCTATGCTGTTGTAGTTGTAAACAAAGAACACAACATAACCTCTATTTCAGTGGAATCTTGTGGTGCATTATAATAGTAAAATACCTAAAAACATGATTTAAAATTGATATAGTTAGGTTGTGGCTTAACTGAGAAAAGTACCGACTTATATACTGTTTACGGTTACATCGTTTTTGATAGAAAAATGTCGCATCAGATGGGAAAAGTTGTATCGGCAATTTTGCAACGACATTTTGGTGAAATCGTGCAAACTGTGGGCTATGATTTATTTACTTATGGCAGTAAGCCCATCAGCATGATAGTAAGGTCTACGGGACTCCCTCGAAATCTGGTAATTATAAAATCTGTCGGTATTAAAGTTAGGTTATGTTGTTAATTGTGAGCTATTCATTTTTTAATACACTGATACGACCTTTACTAAATTTTAATTTATCATTAATTACGTGTTATGTTCATGTCATCTACCAACTCTATTACAAATATTTTTTATTTATGTTTTCAGGTGGTAGAAAGTCTTCGCACATTACTCAAGTTTGATTTGGCAACATTTGAACCTTATAATGATCTTGAAGTGATAGCAGATTATAAGCTACTTCCTGACAATGTGCTCTTATTAATTAGATACCCCAGGTAAAGCATAAATCAATTGGAATTGGAAATTAAATCAAGTTGGAATATTCTAGTTACTTCCAAACATTACATACATTTGGACGGACTTCATGGTTGTATCTAGTGTAGATTCTGGCTAACAGGAGTTGCAGCAGATTTGAGAGGTTGTAGTGGGTTTGTCCCAACCAAAACAAGTATTTCCCAAAATATGTAGCAGATGGACGCTATTATAATATTATATAATTTTAAAATAAATGCTGTTTAAGAGGTTCTCAACAAACATCTTATACAATGTTATAAATGCAGGTACTTGTTACAAATTAAGAGTAAGTATGGGAGTGAGGCTGAGCTGTTGGTGGAAGAGTTACTGCAGCAAGCCACCTGCACGGCTACAAAACTACTTTTCACTATAGCCACGAAATATAAAGACGATAAGGTGAGGTTTCAAGTACTTTTCCCCAATAATAATAGTTCAGATGAGACATCTCGAATTTCCAATCAGCTATTTTGATCCATAACATTGCTTTTTTATGGAGTCTTCATTTTGTGGCAATCTGATCTTTTTTTGATAATTTTCCATACTAAGATCTTGACATATACATATACTCACAATAATTACAGGTTAAGGCCAAAAAAGATATAAATATAAAATTTGGTAAAATAAAATATCATGCACTATATAACCCAATCCAGAGATCAACCGACCAAGCCTATGATTTGGAGAATAATCAAGATTTAGACAAAAACAATTAATAAACAAGTTCTAATCTTCAATTTCAGGAGAAAAACATAACAATAATAGGCTTGAAGGACATGTTCATAAGTTTGGTGACAGCGGGGTACATTCAACAAGCACCAGTAGCTGAGTTGAAGGAAGGTAGTGAGATTCCTACACTGGTGCCTGTCGCCACCATCATACCAGATCTCGACAGCAGAGCCTTGTTACAAGCCATGAATGTTGGACACATCAATGACATCAATGATAGTAAGTTTTGTTATTTTAATAACTATTAATTGACTGCTGAGAGAGAAATTTGACTGAATATATCCTGATATAGAATTGTCCTGAAACTTACTGAAAAAGATTTCCTCCACTGCTGCACCCACATGTAGTAAGGATAAAAATACCCTATATCACTCTCCAGCCTGTTCAGTATATCTGCCGGGACTGCGGGTAAAGCGCAAAGATGTATGTGCAGTGGCCTGTTACGAGCAGGAGATACATTGGGGTGGTTTTTAGAGTCCTCTTAGAAAGAGACACCTCTGGAGTATCACAAATTTCCCCATTGCCTTACATATTACGCTACAAAAATTAAGGTTTACTTACACAGATTAATTGCCTGATGATAAGCAATCACACCTGGAACACTACAAGTGCTTTACCGGCTTTTTGGGGATAAGGGATTTAGTGATTGGGGAAGGGAAGTATTGAACCTCCGTTAACCTCACTTACACGGCGAAATACTACGCTGTGATTGTTACACGCTGGATTTCTGAAGAACTAATGCAAGCACACATTGTTTCCAGATATTTACTGGAGGGTGAACTACGACAGGTTCCACCTCGACTTTAGAGACGAGATCATGATCAAAGCTATCACGAGGAGAATTGACGAAAATGGTAAGCATTTGTATGGTGTATCTCTACCTTGTTTTAATATTAAAAACAAGTTACTCTCGCGCAGTTTCACTCGCTGCTCGGCTCCTCCAGATCGTAGCGTGATGTTTTATAGCCTATAGCACTCAGGAACATTGTAGCTATCTATCACTGAAATAATTTTGGAGATCCGACCAGCGGTTCCAAAGATTACCCCCTACACACAAACTTACAAATTTTACCTCTTTATAATATTAGTTTAGATAACCTTGCCGTGACAATATTGAACAAAAAAGAAATATACATGAAACAAATCATCGAAAATCCACTTTTTTATATTTAATTCGTAATGGGCAGGCATTTGGCCGCTATCACGCCTGGTGGTAAGCTACGATGCGACCTACTATGGAGCACGCTTACCCATAAACAACTTATGCCTTCGGCCGTGAAGACACTCATGTTATACCTTTCAGGGCACACATACTCCGGCAAAGAATTCCACTCTTTAACGGTTCTTTTAGTAAATTATAAAAATAATAATAAATTCTAATAATTGTGTAACACAAGTAACTATACATGATTCTCACACTGCAGCTGGTGAACTGATGCGGTTTTTACTGGAGAAGATGTACCTGACCTCAGCACCCTGGGCGCCGGAGTCCAGCCCGCTGTGCGCCGTGGAGATCCGCGAGAGATGTAGGAGTGCCGCCACTGATAAACCACAGCTACATCAGTTTGTCGACCAGTATCTTAAAGTATTAGGTACGTGTGTGTTTTGATAACAAGCATATTCATCCATTCATGTATGTCGTGGTGGCCCGGAGGTTAAGGAACCCGCTTCTCGTGCATGAGGGTGTGGGTTCGAAACCTGGCAATTACCAATGTAACTTTTTCAGAGTTATATGTACTTTCTATGATTAGTTAGAAAGGTAAACATAGTGAGGAAACCTGGAATACTAGCTAATAATCTCTAATTATAAGTTTGAAATGACCAACCCGCATTTAGCAAGAGTGGTAATGCTCTAACCTTCTCCATATGAGAAGAGGCCTTTGTTTAGCAGTGGGCACTTATTGGCTGATGACGACGATATTCATTCACTCACTGTAATTGTCTAAGCGAATCATAATTTATTTGAAAATAGAAGAAAAGTGTTACCTTTATTTCACTTTGTAATGTCATGTCTATTTATTTTTAAACTCCGAAAAACGTCGGCGCCTTGTAAGTTTGACGTGTCTGTGTGTGTATGTGTCTGTCTGTGGCATCGTAGCTCTCAAACCGATGATCCGATTTTAGTGCGGTTTTTGATTATAAACTTAGAAACACATTCATGCTGTTATTGTGTTAGCTAAATGAATCTTTATTTACTTGAAAATTGTAAATGCCGATATCTTTACTTCTGTCTTATATATTTTATTATTTTACCATACATAAATATAATAAGATTACTAATAATAGTTATTTATAGTTGTTAGTACTTACAATAATCTAACACCATTGGACATCGTTAAAAAGCTCATCGATAAGTTAGCTTTTTTAATTCCCATTTTTACTTTATCTTTTAGTATAGGTAGTTAAAAATTGATATAAAACTTCTTCAAATTACTTCTTTTATTGATGTTTTTTCATACATAATTTGTATTATTAACTTTTAAATCTGTGTACAGAGGAGAGTGGTGGGGGCTTCGTCCGTCGCGTCGGGGACGCCGGCAGCGGCCAGTTCGCGGTGCGGTCGCGGCACGCCGCGCGACAACTCGTGCTCTGCGCCCTCGAACACTGCGTCACGGAGAGACTCGGCTCCAAGGCCGCGCGCATATTTAGGTAACTACTTCATATCAGTTTTTTTGTCAGGGGAATATCATCAACTTACTTCTCCCGCCCAGGGTAAGGCGAGAGAGTCAGACTCTTACTGACTAAAAACCCCCTCGTTCCTTCTCCTGCTCTGGGCCAAGGCTGCGGTGACTCATTGTGCTTAACCCGCTGAACATCAGCCCTATAAGGCCCCGTCATCATCAGCCTATAAGTGCCAACTGCTGAGCAAAGGCCTCTTCTCATACCTCATGCATGAGAAGCGGGCTCCTTAATCTCCGGGCTACCACGACATTTGTCTGTGGCGGTCTATTGGCTAACTACTCCATATCTTCACTTTTACAGTTACAGTCTGGACTTGACGATTTTAAAGGTCGTCTGGGAAAGCCATGCCTTGATACGTAACGGTCAGTTCGAGCGAAATGGTATCACGGCGTCATAGAAAAACTGCTTAAAACAACCATAGTGGTGATATACACTGTGTCAGTGAGGTTACCGGTTTTCCAATGCTTCTTTCTGCCTTCTACCCTAATCCTTAAAGACCAGCAACTCACATATAAATCTCTAGTGTACAATAAAATATTGAAAAGTAACTATACTTTTATTCATCGATCGATCGATACACTGAATTTAAGATATTTTTTAGCAAATTTTTAAGAAATAAGTATGCTATTTGACGCCTAAAAACTGTGACGTCATAACTCAGTTTTTCATACAAATTTCATAGAAAAGTATCGTTTTTGACATTTGGATAAAAGTATTGAATTTGACTAGTTGGAAACTACCGTGTTGCCTCGATTAAAACCTTTCTGGTGCCATGGATAGCACCAATTCTTTATCATCAGGCGATATAATATCTGCTCTCTCTTGTCGCCTTATGCAATAAAAAAACCTAATCCTGGAGACCGCTGTCTAAGAATCAGTTTTATCAGAGATCGCTGGTGCCTGGTCTTTGTTAAAAACTATGTAAACTATTAGTCGTTTGTTTATATCACCCGTGAGGAGGGTATGAGTGGATGATTCTGTAAAGTGGGTGAGCCATGCCACAACGTTGTGTTTGGTCGTGTGACTAAGATTACCGGAGGCCCAATCCTTCTCTACCCCCAATCCCAAAATCTCCAAGTCCCTAATTCGTCCGGTTGGCAACGCACTCGTAACTCCTCCGTTGAAGCGGTTGTCCATGGTCGGCGCTGAGTCCTGCTTACCATCAGGTAATCGACGTTTGCCGACTTATCACATACAAAAATCCGTATAATGACTGAAATTAATGAAATATCACGTAAAATGACTACTGTTTTCGAAAATTATGTAATAGAATAATGTTTGACAGGTTAATATACACAAAGAAGTATATAGAAGAGGATGATATACAGAAGAATGCCATGTTGGTGAACAAGGAGTGCAAGCAGCTCACGTACAAACTGATGGAGGAACATTTCATTAGTGTACAGGTACTATAGTCTTTTTATTGTAATGATATAGGAATCCTTCAAGAGGTATCTTGCTTATGGGAAGAAAAAGTAGGGAATGTGAAATTGTCATCTCACGAAATCCCCAGTGCCCACACTGCCCACAATGGGCATCGATGATCCTACTAATTATACATAATCTGAAAGTTTATAATTAAATGTGATGTTTTTCATTATTTGGCGCAAAATAACTGATTATTTTTGGCCCCCAGAAAGACAAAACGTTACGATTTGTTGGAAGGTTTAGATTCGGTTTGGTAACATTAGAATAAGAGAGACTTACATATAATTTATTTGTTAATGTTTTCAGCCAATGAGAAAAGCAGCTTCAGCGGGCGGTATGGCAAAGGCGATATATTTATACCATGTCAAGTTACACAATGTGAGTCCATTACCAATTACATAATTACTTAAAATAAAATATAAATTAATGAATCTATTTTTGCATTTAACACAGTCGATATTTCAATCACCATAATTGCAATAATACCAAAATATTCTCATTTACTATCAAATCATCATTATCGTCAAATTGTATTGGGATCAACTGTGATTAGCTTTTGCCATTTTATGCTGTATGATTATGATAAAATCTTAAGGAAGGACTCCCTTCACTGGACTGCAACGAACATTTTAGACCAAAAACCTATAACGGAACAGCCGTTCTCGAGTTTTAGTGAGACTAATAAATTTTTATGTTTAGGAAAATATTTCGGAATTCCAAATAAAAATTATAGTTATCAAATATTTCAATCGTCTTTTTACTTTTGCAACTGTCTGTTTAAATTTTAGATACTATTTTGTGCTATCCAACTGTTATATGTAATTATATTTTTTCTGTCGTGTTAAGGTGGCGCATACAGGCTTAGAGATGTGTTACCGTTCCCTGCACAACGTGCTCCGTCGCGCGGCCCACGAGCGCAGCGCGCACGCGCGGCTCGTCGACAAGCAGCGCCGCGTGCGCACCATAGTGCACGGGATGCGACTGCGCGGGGAGACGCAGCGGAACATTGATGATGTTAGTATTGCATAATATTTGGGTATATTCACAAGTCATACTCCGGTAGTAGCCAGTAACATAACCATCATCAGCTTTTTACAATAATATTAAGTAATCTACGACTGCTAAAGTGTTAATGGCCTGTCAACTATCTTGAACTAGCTTCCACCCGCGTGGTAGATAAGACCAAGCCTATGTGTTGATCCAAAGTATCATCTATCTACTACCAAATTTCAATCTAATCGGTCCATATGGTTTAGCGTAAAAGAATAACAAACATACATCTCATCTAGGAAGTAAGATCTCGCAATTGCTGAAATTTTTTCGGTCGTAAGTCGTTTCGGTCAGTTTTAAGGTCTTAAACCATTTCTGCCAGTTTTATCGCTAAGTATTCCGAAAATTTCCAAACAAGTTTAGGGATGATGGGTTATTTGGTAACTCGAAATATATTTGATTATTAAATATTAATCTAACGTGTTTAAAAAATATTTCTTTCAGGTGGAGGAAACCCTAACACCTCCTGAGCTGGCCGTACTGCAGGGTGTTGAAAAGAGATTGAAACAACTGAGCACAGCCGAACTAGAACTAGATAGGAACCTCTTTATATTCAAATGGTATTTCATGTATCCATATACTGAATGATTATAGTCATCTTAACTATAGACTGCTATGTGTATAAATTATTAACCTATACCCGCTTATTACAAAAAAAGTTTTATCTTCAGTCTACCACAGTCAGGTTTCGAATTATGACTTTTTTTCTTACCTATCTTCAATTTGAAATACAAAAACTGGCTCAATGGTTTAGACTTATGCCCGGTTTCCGAAAGGCCGATCAATGTTAAAATCAACTAACTAGGGTGTCAAATCTCTTGTCAGGTCTTCTGATTGGTTGTTGATAATTCAGTCAAACAATCAGATGACTTGACAAGAGATTAAATTGATTTTAACATTGATCGGCCTTTCGTAAACCGGGTGTTAGACTAAAAAAATACCTTGTTTTATAATAAGGCCGATAATGACTGTTGAATATTCTGACGATTGCTTTTTGTTTTGAAGAAAGAAGACAGAACTGATGTCAGTTTGTTGTTTTATGACTTTTTATATTTTTGTTTATTATTTATATTCTAGGATTTAACTTAGTGTATCTTTTTTTCGGCAACATTATATTTTGTTCTTGTTAAAAAAAACCTTGTAAGAAAAATCTTCCAGTGAGCTTGTTTATGCGTTTTAATGTTTAAATATTGTACATAAATATACATATATATCATATTTATTAGTGTCATAAGGGTAATGAATAAAATAGTCAACAACAGTATGTTCTTAAAATTTTATTTGACCCCATTGAAACTCAATAGTTGTTCAAAGTGTACAACCTATTCCTTCGATTCGATTTATTACAAAACGTTTGAGGACTAACCGAGTTACTGTCACACGTAATATTTAAACAAAATGGCGTATAATTTGAAGCGAACATTTTCTACTACTGTCTCATTGCGGGCAATGAAAACTTGTGTAAATAGAAATACGTAATAGTGAGTTCACCGAGGTTTATTTGCTATATTAACAACTTCATACAGAGATTCATAAACTTATCTCTAACGCCCCCTTAAAAAATTAAAAGTAAGTAAGTATACCCGGAGCAGAAGACGAGGTAATTTTTTGTCAGAAGAGTCTCGCCCTACAAAGGGCAGTAGAATACTGTGATGACTTCTGCTCTCAAAAATTATTAATTATGAAGGAAATCTTATGAAATCACAAATCGCTTCCCGACACCCTGTCTATGAAGAACTAAGTTTTGTAAAATAACCACAGGCTATATACATCTAGATTTTCTCTTCAGGGTCTTCCTGTATGGCACACCATTGAAGATTGGACACCTTTATTCTGTCCCCTTGCCATTTCTCCCAATAATAAAGGTTCTAGAAAGAAAAAAACAACGAATTATCCAGATTTCATTACATTCCATGTAAGAAAAACAGCAGCAAAAATTGCACAGATCTCGGTGAACCCAACTACAGAACACTTGGAAAGAAAACGACAATCAACATTGTTATAATTATGAATTAATATTAACAAGTATATAGATTATGTACGTACGTTAAACACCTGTTATACAGTGACATCTAATATTTTATTATTTATTTATTTCAGACATCAACATTGCAGGTGGTGGCAAAGATTGTTTTATTAAAAAAAACTTGATAAGTATTTCTACTACAATCTTCAGTTTTCTTGGTTGAAAATTTGGTTGTAGTTATTCAATTAAAATTTTGTCTTTCATTTTATTTCACAGCTGTATGTTTCCAGGTTTGTTTGAAATTAGGCCTCTTCTGTCTTGAATGTTATTAATTTAAATAATTTCTTTGGGAGTTCATGAAGAAATCTTTGCCAGCACTCACCTGTCGCCTTGTTAAGATAATTATCCACTTCAAGCTAAATTAGTCATACAACTAGATTTGTCTAAATTAAAGAGTTGTTAAATATTTACACGCCTTGACTCGACTTGATGTCTCGTTGTAACAAATGATAAATTATATTTATATACTTTTTATAATGCGCTAAATATTACACGGATGATATTGAGTAAGTTCAAAATGTTTTTGAATATTTTGCAGGATATTAATATCTATGACACAAAAGCAACTAAGGAAAAATCTATATTAAACTTCTTACAATCACTCAGTCATCATTAGTTATTATTTTCGAAGAAATTCCTAATTAAGAAGAATAATATTATTAAAAGTTTTTCTATCGACACATAATCAGCTTAGATTAACACACATATACAAGAAAGGCTGTATTTAAGTATAAAACTTGTGCGCATTTAATTTCACATAAATCATTAAAACGAGAGACATCAAAGTCGGATCATGAAAACACTTAATAATTTAATCAGATTATTTTATGAACTATTCTATGGAAATATTAAAAATACAGTGAAGACATCGACTATCTGGCCTAAGATATCACCTTAACGCGAACGAATCGACCTTACTACATTATTCGACTATACATTCTTTAGATGTTTACAAAAGCAGTTATTTATTTATATTATGAATAGTGTTTGTGTCACTTAGCGCCTAGTGCAACTCAAAAAAAAAACATTGAGACTCCAAAAGGACAGCTGTGCAAAACTTTTAAAAAATAAACTGGAAGCTTGCAAAAACGCACCACCGCCATCTATATACAAAGGTGAGGTAAGAAGCAAAATAAAATGAAACATGCAAATTAAAATTGTATTTATTTTATTTATAAACTAGGTATTTTATACAACTTAACAAAATACATACATACAGTAACTAAACAGAGCAACCAAAATATAATTCATTCATACTGGCATTGGATCATTACAACTCATGTTGCTGCATTCATTCCTGAGAGAGGGACACGTTAGGATTGGCAAGAACCGTGTCAGTCAGTCGGCAGTCGTGTCACGGGGCCACTTACGCCCACTTACAGCTACTTATGAAGGTAACGTCGGTCGGAATCAATGTAGCAACATGCGTATCGCGTACCACGGGGCAACACCGACAAAGTGTTAACTGTGTTCTACTTCATCTAATACTGTTCAACGTTATGCTATCACTGAGTTCATAATTTCCTTCAAATGTAAGTCTGAACGTGTTAATAATTTTATTTGTACTATCACAAAACACTTCGCATTTAACGGGCTGAGAAGAATGAACATAACTTTTAAATAATTCGATATTTTAAACTTATAACAAAAATTAGGGCTAAGCCGAACAATATAATGACAACTCAATCCTTAAGACAATTTAATATACGACGGTTTTATAACTATAATGTAAGAAGCCAAATAAAGAATAATAAAGGAATAGATTTGTGATGTAAATAAAAATAATAAAAAGCTCTAATTGATATTTACAAAAGTAATCAGACTGTGGTAACGCTAAGACATGAGGACCTGTATACTATAAGTGACGATAACAAAACATTCGCCGCCGCGCTACCAGCCACGGCTATACCGAATGCAGGCAGCATGTACAAACTGTAAGCGAGACGTATTCATTGAATCCCCGAATATAGTCTAGTGCTTTATTACTAACAATTTACCACTGTTGAACCAGTCGCCGTGTCGTGTTCTAGACATACATATTGTTTCTCCGAGTAAACATATGCATGGCGCGAGAGTGGCGCCCCCTACGCCGCACTACTCCCGCTCCCGAGCTACAGCTAGCGCAGTAAATAGCATAATTTAGAACAAAACAGTTTAAAAATTCAAATATTGCAAGAACTTATCACAAAATTATTCAAAGTCTCCTAATTCAATTATACTATTTACAATGCAAAACAGGGTAATTTACACTTCGTTTGTTTTACTAAATAATTTGTCATTTTTAGATAAATATCTCCATAATGTAATATAAATTTATATATATGATGGCCTAAATAATAATACTAACATTTGTAAATTAATGTTGCTAGCCGGGATAAAGTAAAATATTGATGTGAAGCCAAATACCTATTACGTCCAGGAACTATTCAAATCATAGGCTTACTTATACCGACGAACCTTATCCCATATATCTACTAACGTTAACGTATTTGGGCAGCATGATATCTATAAAACGAGCTATAAGTTACGCGGTGAGATATACAGTATCGTTCTGCTGACCGTACTCGACCTGTCGAGACGTATCGACGATATTGATACTTGCGACGTTTCCAAACCAAGCCTCGATTGATGTGCGTCTTGATCCTTTATGGTCTCGTATGTTGTGCACGATTGATATTATTAAATTATAACTACGACAATTGACAATAAAAGATATCAGTGAGCTACGCTTGCGTCTCAATGTGTTGATACTTCGTTTAGAAACGTGACAAGTACTGTTCTGGGCGACATGGTATCCTGGCTTCTACACTGAACACATTGGAGTCCGTCCCGGCAACGCTGTCGGCTGTCTCACTCACGCCCACTGCCGCTCGTGTAAGTGCGTCTCCCTCACGCAGGAAGCTATTACAATATGCAGCAGGACGCTGAACAACAACTGCTGGAACCACCTTTACTTTTTTGCCGTTGATCTGGAAACAGAGAAAAACGTTTTAGTTCACTATACAATAATACTAAAACAATACAAGTACACTTGACACAGCTGGTCTTTATTTGAACAAAACATAGTCTAAGTTTTAAATAAGATATAATATGTACATATTACTGCAAAACTAGTTTCCATGACACTCCTATTTTAAAGATAATTTGTATATTTGAAATCTTTTCAACTTTCTGGAACTTATAATCCAAATCTAAAAACTAAAGTCAGTATAATTAAGGGTGCTTACGGGTAAGGGTAAGTACAGTTAGTAGTACAAGGTATTGGTATCACAGGACTTACGAAAGGAAAGGAGGTAAGAAACAGGAAAAAGGATAGTTAGGACCACCGGACTTCTGTAAAACAAGTCTTTTATTTAATGGAAAACATTATTTTTGATATGAAATATTCTACACACTATTTACTGCAAAAAAAAGTGTATATACTAAACTGTAACTTGATATAGCTCAATATATAGGGCATCTGTTTTGGTATGCATCTAATAAAAAATAGTAAAAAAAACAAAATAAATTATTAGATTTTAGTTGACAACACTTATTGCCTCTCTTAGACTTGACTTGATTCGACTAAATAAAATACTGAAAATCTACATGTATCACTCCTTGTCTTAGAGAAATAAAAGTATAAAGATTTTTTTTAAAATAGAACTTCCTAGATGTAATGAAATAGATTCAGTATCCATAACTTCTTAAACATTTTAGAAGTATTTTTTCTAAATGAATTCATACGGTCGAAATGACAAAATTTCCACTTTAAAATAAAAATGTGTGTTTACCATGTGAGTTAGGCTCGGGCAAGTGCTCGCGCGGCACTAGATGCATGACGGTGGTGCGTCCGAGCGGCAGGCCGAGTGCACCCAGCGTCACTGAGCTGTGCAAGAACCGGCCCTGGTAAATCAGTCGCAGGATCTCCGCGCGCGACACGCATTCTGTTGCCCAGTCCGCTGGAACGTTAAAATTTTAATGTTAGATGTATTTAATTCAGCCGGGAAAGCAGGAGAAGGAACGGGAGGAGGGGGTACAGTTTAGTCAGTAAGAGTCCGGCACTCCCTCTCGCCTCACCGGGTAGGAGAAGTCATTTGATGATTTTCTCCTGACAAAAAAAAGATGTATTTGTATTTTATGGTACATTTTATATGAATAAAAGATAACATAATTTATAAGGTTTTTCTAACTTATGTTTCAGATAAAAAGATATCTAAAACACAGAATGAGTATTGTAATAAATAAATAAATACGTGTCACGTCATACATATCATAATCGAACAAATCTTTGTGTGGTCCATAGGTTGTTGTTCCGGGTTGTTAACACCATCCAAAACACAATAGTAATTCTCCTAGAGAGTTTTGTCACTCTCCAGAATTAAAATATCGGTTTTTTCAAAAAACATACCTATTGCACTGATAGTAAACAACAAGAATTTCGAAAATTAAATTTTAAAAAATATTCAAGAAAACACAACATTCAAAAAAGTAATGGAAATAAATAAAATACATTGAAAAAATATAAGAATAAATGTCGAAAAATTAACAAAAAGAATGTTAAGAACAATGCCCCCAGAGAGATTTGAACTCTCGACCCCTGGTTTACAAGACCAGTGCTCTAACCCCTGAGCTATGGAGGCGGACAGTTGAAGCACCGTAAATGCTGATACCTATTGACGGCGCGTTGTTTACACACACTGTAATGAATCATACTCATGTACGCACACTACTAAACATTTATCAAACACTTTGTTTTCGCATCCTAACAACTAGATGGCGCTATTGCACAGGACAGTGATGGTTCAAAACATAATTTGTACGATTTTTTTTCTTTTGTTGGGGATTCATATTGGGTTTGAATACAGTTTTTTTATTTAGTAAAATACTTAGTATAGTTATTGTTCAACAGTATTACATACATGTGGTATGGCTGCCAGTGAAGCATTGCGGGACGCCACAGTAAGGTAACTATCGCGTGCCTTCCAGCACTAAGAATAGGGGTGGTAAGCGTAACAAAACGATGTGCTCTCTAATTTTCTTGTTTTTCTGTACAAAATAATCGCTTATCACAGTTAAACTTATGACTCACATTAAGTACTTATCCAAATGTTTTTTTTGTGTCGGTTTAATGTTACTAGGACCAAGGTAATCTTTTTTTGCTGTTTTTTTTTATATTTTCTAGGTGTTTGTATCTCATAAAAATACCATGAATTTTGAAAATATAGGACAAAAAGTAAATATAGTAGGTAAGCAAACTAGGAACTTGACAGTTCCTAGTTTTTTTGTATGTATTGGATGGTCACAATTTAGTAATTTATTTTATTTTCATTTAAACTTATCCTAATAAATGTCAGAGCTGAAACCCCTATCCAGCACGAGTGCCTTACCGTAACATGTCACAGGCACTAGCCAAACTAACTAGCAAGCTTCATAAATAAGCGACCGCCAGGAGGCGCCACTATCGGGAGGGACGCAACGACAATAATTCGTGAACTAAACACGAACCACGTTGCTTGCCCGCCGATAAATATCAACATACCTATCTACAAGTTCTACAGTGAAAATAAACTTAGACATTTTATTGAGACTTCACCTTCTGTGAAAAATCTTTTGGAATTTTCTACAAGTTAGAATGTGGTTATCTAGTGGCTTAATTTTAGTTGTGCATGCGATAGCGTGGTCCAATTTGTGGTCGACGGAATTTGGAGTTTCTATCTATCACAGCGGTAGCCGCGGTTGTACCTAGGTACCTACCTGGCGTAGTGAATTTTAATAAGATTGTTTCGATGATTTTCGATTTTCGTACTTAGGTATTTTAAATCCCAAGACAATGCACTGGGTGTCTCTACACATACGTTATTAGTAGGTATTGGATGTACCTCTGTGTGGAGCCATGACTTGAAGGACGAGGGCTTTGCCTATTTTTTTTAATTCATTACCTACTTACAATTTTATAGGTAGGTGTATGAACTTGAGTACTGAGGCAAAAACATTAAAACAATGATGTAGTCATCCCCAACATGACACATTATATTGATGACTAGTTTAAAGTACAATTACAACGAGTAAAAACATAAGTTGTAATTTACTACAGTCTCAGCCAAAAAACAGAGATAATTGGTAGTTTTTGTTGTGGAACTATTATTATTTTTTACAAGAGTAGAGCCTGAGGCAAGAGAATAACATTATACTGTTGTAATTACAACAATTATCGTATAAAGAGCATAAAGGCATGTCTACTACACCTACTCGGGCGGTAACTGACCTCGGGCAACGAGCGCGCATCGGCACATTTGCACTTACTGCCGTTTTTTTGGCGCGAATGTGAGTGTCAGCCATATGTTTTTCGCACCATGTGTTTTGGACAGGACGGATATAAAAATAAATGACTCACACGAGTCTTCCCTACAATATTTATTATGATTTTGTACCAGCGCGGTGCCTTTATCGATTAAAAGTGTTGTTTTTTCGTCAGAAGTTTCGATTTGAAGCGAGACAACTTTTATTTTTAGATGTGATTAAAAATGTGTTTGTTACTTCGATGTTTGACGAAAACAGGAAAAATGTAAACGGAAAATCCTCTCAAGCAAATTAATCATCAAAACGAATGACAAATTAATTGATACCTGCGACCTGTCTACAAAGACGTGATCTAACTTGGCATAGGAATAGGAAGGCACCATACTTAAATACATATTATAAAGCAACGCTGAACATAATACCACGTATAAGAAAGTGTTGTACTTATCATTTACGAAACGTAGGATAAAAAGGAACCGAACAAAAACATAATAAAATTACCATGAACATAAAATCTTGGGAATTGTATGAAACCTACGTGTTGCTTGCGTGAAACCGTGAAACGTATTTGAACATTTTAATATCACATCGAGTCTATTTACCGTTTCCAGACACGTAGCCAATGCGAGGAACTTGTGAGGTGGGCGGCTTAGTTCTCGAAAAAAAAAACGTTTTTTTTTATTGAACATCTAACTTTAAGTATATCGTTTAACTTTGTACATAAATACGTGCTAAGTATTTCGTTACTATTTCTATTGGTATATTAAAGTTAAATAACGTCATATTCCAATCATTTACCAAAGTCTAATTTGTGTGAATTAGGATACCGGAGGCCCAATAATTTTCTCCTCAATCCTCAAATCCCCTATTCTTAAGTCCCTTATACCAAACAAGAGGTCGGCAACGCACTTGTAGTAATTCCTCTAACATTACGAGTGTCCATGGGCGTCGCTGATTGCTTACCATCAGGTAATCCGTCTGCTCGCTGGCCCACTTATACCTATGACATAAAAAAACTAAAATTATACTTAGACAGATTCTAAAGATACATCCATGTTCGACTTATTTAGAAGCCACGTCACACAAATCAGTGATGACGTCATACTCTAGGTCACTGCAGGGTTAGACAAAACATTCGATGAATGAATGCAATGCTAATTGAAATGGTCTTCACCTTCATTCGATTATTCGCAAATGAATACTAATCAATACATGAATGGCAATCAATCGATTTAGCACATCTTACAGAACTGTAAAAAAGTTTACTATCACCCTTTTGAGCAAATAAAACAATAATTTCCTATGTAGCTTCCATGAACTATTTCGCGAGTGTAGAATTTGGAAGGATTTATTCAAGAACATTGGCGTTCGAATTGTGAAAGGAATTATAAATAAATCGAGTAGTTTCTATCTATGAATGTTATATCTTTCTTTTTTATTATATAACACTTACTTCGACCAACTCAATGTAGTACAGATGTCCTTAAAATATACAAATTCAAGGGACATTCACACCGTTGATTGAGTATTTTTGTTAGACAATTCAATAGTCACAGAAATGTTATCTGAGCAATAAAATTGTTGCTGTCACTGTCTTATACAAACATTCTGAAGCGACAGCATCATAATTATACCCCAGATAACTTTTATTTAACCATTAGAAAATGAGCCCTAATGCAAATAAATAAAGTGTTACTTTGTTTATTTAAACAAACTACATCTATTCTTTTCGACATCACTAGTGCCTCTCATCCAATTAACTAGCTTGCATAACAGCGGATCGTAGCTTATTCGATAGGCTTGCCATTCCGAGCAACCTGCTATTCTGAACCTTATGTCAATGTTATAAAAAACATTGCATAACTGCAGGACTTTCAAACCCAAACTGCCTTAACTATTTGCAGTCCTTTGTCAAACACAGACAGGGCAAATATCATCAATTTTGAACACCCTGTATACGAACACCAGCACATAAAGCTACCTCAAACTGTTAAACAATTTCTGACTTAATTACGAGGCACTGGAGTTGAAAATTGATAGTTTTCAGATGCATACCTTGATTTGCTGGTATCCACACGTGAGAGTGTATATGACGAAAACAGGGACAAAGTGATTAGTTTGAAAAGTAATTTCACAGTAGGGATGAGTTAGAAATGGGTAAAATACCGCAGATGTGTTTTACTACGATAGTAAATCGATTTAAAATTTACATGTTAATTGCATACTTTGTTTCTTCTGGGGACCTTTTATAACATAACATACGATTCTGTTACTTGCTATGCATATGTAGGTAAGTAATCGAAACTTATGATCTCAATGAAATTAAGTGTCAAGAGGTAAAATTGAACAAAGGACAGAAAGGGGCTGATTATTATAACGACGAGAATGATGAAAAGTATTCGTCAAAAACGTGGGTACCTTATTGAATGATTCTGTGTATTGTAAATACTACTCGTATTACAATATACAGATGGTTAACAGTTCAACCTCTTCTAATTTTATTAAATAAAGACTTTCATGTATTTCATGTATTTTCTTCTTTATCTGTTCGTAACAAAATCTAGAATCTATTGACAGATTTCGATTCGTATCGATATAGAGCTAGGTACAATCGGCAAAGTTATTTCTTGTGCAGGTGTTAAAACAAAAATTAATGTAGGTAGTGACTGTAGCTATTGTTTTACTGCATTGTATGCTTTTTAACGGAGCCACATCTTTGCAATCATTGGTCGGTTAGTATGTATTTACCTTCAGGCCAGTTGTCGTAGACATGTATCGCGATGTCGCCTGCCGAGTCTACGGGACTGAACACGAATTCCTTCGTCTTGCCCGACACCAGGATTAACCGAAGATTTATCTGTGAAACAAGAAAAATATATGTAAGTGAAATGCTCCATTTCGCTGGAGAGATGACTGCTGTATGGTACAGCAAATACATAAAACATAAAATGGAAAATAGCTTTGTATTACGCTGAAAGGTAAGCAGATAATTATAAGTGGATAAGTGGGCCAATAGTACACAATACATAATACAATATAAATATAATGGCCTGTGACCGTTGATTTTCTAGAAAAGGGCCTCCTCTACTAATAAGGAAACGAATTTGCCAGATAGCAAGCAGAAACTATTTTTGACAAACGCAACACATATCAAAACTGAATTATAGTATTCTCATCAAACCCCAAGCGAAGGCGGCGTTCGCGCACCTAATATTTTTTTTTTTGGAATTTCTAAATACCACGATTGAAAGGTTAAGTAAGAATTATAACCACAGAAATCTTTATCTCCAAACTGGTAATTGTTTATTGCTCTCCGTTGGTGGCTTGTTCGTCCGCGAGTCATTTAACGGGCCAGTAGAATACCAGCGCAAGGCCCTGTCTTGCACATGCTGAACTGGTCCGATTTCACCGCAGACTTGGGACACTAGTATGTAGGTGGTCTATAAACTGTATGTACAGGATCTTATGTGTCACATGTTTTAGCGCGTGAAATAAAGTTTTTTTCTTTCTTTCTTTTCTAAGAAAACCCAGTAATATTTTCTTCTAGCCAACATACGAACCAGAGGTCCTTTGCAAGACTTTCTTTACTAAACAACGAAGCCGTTAAACTAGCAGTTAGGCTTAAGTATAAGCATTCCAAATTATAAAGAAAACAGTACATAAACATTTAAAATTAATAATAAAAAATAATCCCAGCACGATAAATTGTTTTTGTAATAATTATAATTTCGAAGTAAAGGTGCCTCTAATTAGTGTAAATAACATTTGATTGTAGAAAAACAAGCTGTAATTATTTTACTTTAGATATTAACTAGTCTGGCACTCACCAATTAAATTAAATCTTGGCTACACGATATAGATAAGTACTAAATATTAGTTTAGTTGTAAAAAAATATTGTTTTTAACAAATTATAGCTGGGAGAATGTCAAAGCATTTTAACTAAATAGTTATCAGAGAAAGTAACGAATATTCGAATATTAAAAATTAAAGAAAACGTAACATGATTTCACATTTGTTATAAGACAGATGTTGTTGAGTTCAGGGTAATACATAAAACAATGCAAGTTAATCAGATAAAAAAAAACAATAATGATTTATTTTGTACGATCTTTTATTCAATTCTTTAAGTGATAAAAATAATCTACAGTTCGATTTACCCCTGGAACAAAGCCTTTACGAACACAGTTTAATATATTATCATACATCATTTAGTAGAAGATGGTTTCTATTTAGTGACATACAAAATTCATACAGCTTACCTAACATACATATAAATCTCAAAAGGCCTTGACCCAAAATGAGAGACTTGTTTCGTTTGCAAGGAAGCCAAAACATAATGTAGGTCAAGGATGAGTATCGATTGTACTAAAAAGCGTATGAACCAATCGTTTAGAAACACAACTAAAACGGTAAAGAAAACACAACTAAAAGGCTTTTTTGTGAGGAGAAAATCATCAAAGACTTCTCTTGTCAGTGTGGGACGGGGAAGAGTGTCAGACTCTTACTGATTAAAAAAAACCCTGTTACTTCTTAAAAGGTAATAAAGATTGAAGATAATTCAATGTTAAAAATGAAACTTGGTATATTTACAAAAAGAGAAAGACATTGAGAAGCTTATCCTCGGTAGTGGACTGATAGGAGCTGATTATATGATGATGATGACATCAACAACCTATTTAATATACTACCGCTGGTACTAGGTCAGCTCTACACAGGACAGCAACGTTTCCCAACATTTTACACATTTTAAAGGCAGGTCTTCATTTTATTTCAAAAGGAAATGACCCTGGTTTGATACCGTCAATAGCTCGTCATCCCAGCGATTTTACTTAAAAAACAATAAATTTATTCATAAAATCATCTCATTTGACATTATCATTACTGTATCATCCCAAAATAAAATTAATAAAACGTTTTTTATTAATTTCATTATAATTATTATGCGTTTATGACACATTTGCATAGCTTATTACATAAAAAATACGCAAAACCAGATTCTTTTGTAACCAGTCATCCTTGGAGCATTAATATGTACGGAATCACGTGGAAGTGGGGGGGTAGACTGGTGTTCTGTTGTTTTAGTACTACCCGTTTGAATTAACTGTACACCCGAAGCAGTGACGTCATTCTGACGGTACGATTGCAAAAAGAATTAATATAGCAAAATTAAAAAAAAAATTACCGTTAAATTAGTTATCATGTTAAAGTTTTGTTTTTTTGCAAAATTTAGTAAGGTGCACATTTGAGTAGTACAGGTAGTAGGTATGAGATAGTATAAGCACAGTTATATTTTTATACTGTGGTATACGTCAAGGCTCATTCGAAAAACAGAATATAATATAAAATAGGTAAGTGCATAATTCTTATATGGTTGATATTGGATGTATTTTTATTTAAAAAATACATTATTCGTATTAAGCTAGATAGATAGATATTAATTATTATAAAAGGTTACAAGGCTAGGCGATATTGATATAATAAGTAAATAAATTCAATTATTTAATGTTGATAATTGTTTTTAGATATGGAAAAGCGATTTTGATTTCGAATTTTATAAAAATAATTTGTTGACCTTCAAGTCATGACATAAAAACTGTTAAAATATGTTTTTAAAATTGTTTGTAAGATAATTTTAACAAAATGAAACAAAAAGAAGTATTGCGACCCTGCCAGGATTCGAACCTGGAATCTTCTGATCCGTAGTCAGACGCGTTATCCATTGCGCCACAGGGCCGATGCGAGAGATGACGAAAATAGCAAACATACGATTTGCAAATATCCGAAGTGAACAAAAGAAAATCTGTACCTATGTTTTTTTATTTGAAATTTCTTTTCATGTGAAGGTATTAACTTTCAAATAAATTTTCTATTCATAGGTATCTGGCGCACCAATGAGAGCGTATTTTACACCTACGCAATGAACTAAAATAAAATTAATGGGTGTGAGGCGACCCTCCTATAGAAAATACCTACTACACGTATATAGTAGGTACGTTTATAGCATATTTTGCACGAGCCGGCCGACTCAGGGGACGCAGGGTCTTGCGGCGGCCATATTTCATTTTTCCCGCCATCCGGGGAGTCATCCGCCATTTTCATTCTTGCATCAAAACGTATCTATAAAGTTTTTATATTTTCCTTTGTGTTTTTTTGTGTCTTCGCGATATTTCAAGGAAATCTGTTGTGGCGTAATTTCATGTATATGTATGTATGTATGTATACGAACGACCTAGATAGATATTGGTACAAAATTAAATATTAATACTTTTTGTAATAGCTTAACAATTTTAAATTACCGAGTACATTAGTATTAGGTATAATACTTCTTTGTTACTATTTGTTCTAAATAACAATCCTACCGCGAGGGACTCATCCATTGTATTCCGCCTGAATAAATTGAAGTCTTAGTAAAAGTTGTTTATTTAATCAAATTCCTAGGTTCATTCATTTCCTCGACCCACGCACTTCCACCGCAGATCTGTATTTCACGAACATCGAGGGAAGTGTACCGTGGCCGTACCAGTTAGTTTCATCGAGGTCATTGTTGAAAAAGCTTTATAACATAGTAAAAATTTATGATAGCCTGATATGAGGGTCAAGCGGTATTGAAAAACGGTCTTTCTCGCCGATATTCTTCTATGAGTATGAGCGAGGTTCCTTGCACATATTTTGTCGAGGAATTTGATGGGGTTCTGCTGTTTTCCTATGGGGTCCATAATATTTATCGTTTGTATTGTTTAAACAGACGTTTTTTTTGGGGGAAACCGGCAGAGCTTTGCCTGTTTTTGGTCCTCCCGTTCTGTTTTATGGTGAGCAAATAGAGGGGGCATGAGCATGAAATACTTATTGATTCTATTAAGCGTGAATGATGAAGTGGAAAATGGGGTATGAAGTGTGTACATTGCTCAAATGCTAACCAGGTAAGTATGGACTTAAATGCAAGAACAATTGCACTAGGTTAGACTATCAACGCCATAAAAGACGAAAAATGCTTGTAAGCGTATAAGACAGCGTCGTCATTGCCGTTAGAGGTCATAGTGTCCCAATTTGTGCCGTAAACAATAAGCTAGCCGTTGCAAGTTTTATAGTTCCATCTGCAATGCGGGGCGGTGGCAGTGTACGGAACCAAACGCTAGGCCGCATCCGTTTCATGCCAATTTAATTGATTACCCTACCATTACAAGATTTGAATGGAAACATTTGATAATCAGTTATATTTATATGTAAGACCCGCGAACTCTGTGCCAAAGTGTCAAATATCTAATATCACATACAAAACTGTTTTTACGGAAAGAAAAGTGTCAATTTTTAAACGTTTAAACCTTTCCTGACTTTCATCTATAGGTTCTTCAAGACCAAAATCGACCACTTCGGTCCTACTATTTCAGAGTTTTAGGCGACACTAACGAACGGCAATTCATTTTATATGGAAGAAGATACACACATGCTTCTATAGATTGATATCGAAAATATGTTAAGCCGAGCTAAAAGTGTATTAAACTCGCGTAAGATCTATAAAAATACGAATTTCAAATAAGAGTGCTGTTCATTCACCTAATACATAAGATACAAAATACTTAGTGTTTCCTGTACAATGTTCTTCTAATTATACCATATTAAATTCTCGCTGATCTGTGTCGGAGGGTCGCAACCCCTGCCTTTGTAAATTAAACTTAACGGTATTTAATTTTAGATTGTAGAATAGCGTGTAAATTAGAATCATAGCCAGTAATTTGAAGATTCCATGAAAACCACAAATTGTACCTGATTTAACACAAATTAACGAATCGAATTTCTCAAATGATTAAGTAGGTAAAACTTTTCTAGTCTTAAAAATAAGTTGAAAGGCCTTGACA